CTTTGCTCTCTTATTGTTTCTTCATGCTCCATTTCAGTTCCATCTATTGTTTCATCCTGGTCCCTTCAATATCTTTGCTCTCTTATTGTTTCTTCATGCTCCATTTCACTTCCATCTATTGTTTCATCCTGGTCCCTTCAATATCTTTGCTCTCTTATTGTTTCTTCATGCTCCATTTCAGTTCCATCTATTGTTTCATCCTGGTCCCTTTAATATCTTTGCTCTCTTATTGTTTCTTCATGCTCCATTTCAGTTCCATCTATTGTTTCATCCTGGTCCCTTCAATATCTTTGCTCTCTTATTGTTTCTTCATGCTCCATTTCAGTTCCATCTATTGTTTCATCCTGGTCCCTTCAATATCTTTGCTCTCTTATTGTTTCTTCATGCTCCATTTCAGTTCCATCTATTGTTTCATCCTGGTCCCTTCAATATCTTTGCTCTCTTATTGTTTCATCATTTCAGTTCCATCTATTGTTTCATCCTGGTCCTTCAATATCTTTGCTCTCTGATTGTTTCTGCATGCCCCATTTCAGTTCCATCTATTGTTTCATCCTGGTCCCTTCTATATCTTTGCTCTCTTATTGTTTCTTCATGCCCAATTTCAGTTCAATCTATTGTTTCATCCTGGTCCCTTTAATATCTTTGCTCTCTTATTGTTTCTGCATGCCCCATTTCAGTTCCATCTATTGTTTGATCCCAGTCCCTTCTATATCTTTGCTCTCTTATTGTTTCTTCATGCCCCATTTCAGTTCCATCTATTGTTTCATCCTGGTCCCTTCAATATCTTTACTCTCTGATTGTTTCTTCATGACCCATTTCAGTTCCATCTATTGTTTCATCCTGGCCCTTCAATATCTTTGCTTTCTTATTGTTTCTTCATGCCCCATTTCAGTTCCGTCCATTGTTTCATCCTGGTCCCTTCAATATCTTTGCGCTCTTATTGTTTCTTCATGCCCCATTTCAGTTCCATCTATTGTGTCATCCTGGTGACTTTAATATCTTTGCTCTCTGATTGTTTCTTCATGCCCCATTTCAGTTCCATCTATTGTTTCATCCTGGTCCCTTCAATATCTTTGCTCTCTTATTGTTTCTTCATGCCCAATTTCAGTTCCATCTATTGTTTCATCCTGGTCCCTTCTATATCTTTGCTCTCTGATTGTTTCTGCATGCCCCATTTCAGTTCCATCTATTGTTTCATCCTGGTCCCTTCTATATCTTTGCTCTTTTATTGTTTCTTCATGCCCCATTTCAGTTCAATCTATTGTTTCATCATGGTCCTTTCAATATCTTTGCTCTCTGATTGTTTCTTCATTGTCCATTTCAGTTCCATCCATTGTTTCATCCTGGTCCCTTCAATATCTTTGCTCTCTTATTGTTTCTTCATGCTCCATTTCGGTTCCATCTGTTGTTTCATCCTGGTGCCTTCAATATCTTTGCTCTCTTATTGTTTCTTCATGCCCCATTTCAGTTCCATCTATTGTTTCATCCTGGTCCCTTCTATATCTTTGCTCTCTTATTGTTTCTGCATGCCCCATTTCAGTTCCATCTATTGTTTCATCCTGGTCCCTTCAATATCTTTGCTCTCTTATTGTTTCTTCATACCCCATTTCAGTTCCATCTATTGTTTCATCCTGGTCCCTTCAATATCTTTGCTCTCTGATTGTTTCTTCATGCTCCATTTCAGTTCCATCTATTGTTTCATCCTGGTCCCTTCAATATCTTTGCTCTCTTATTGTTTCTTCATGCCCCATTTCCGTTCCATCTATTGTTTCATCCTGGTCCCTTCAATATCTTTGCTCTCTTATTGTTTCTTCATGCCCCATTTCAGTTCCATCTATTGTTTCATCCTGGTCCCTTCTATATCTTTGCTCTCTGATTGTTTCTTCATGCTCCATTTCAGTTCCATCTATTGTTTCATCATGGTCCCTTCAATATCTTTGCTCTCTTATTGTTTCTTCATGCTACATTTCAGTTCCATCCATTGTTTCATCCTGGTGCCTTCAACATCTTTGCTCTCTGATTGTTTCTTCATGCCCCATTTCAGTTCCATCTATTGTTTTATCCTGGTCCCTTCAATATCTTTGCTCTCTGATTGTTTCTTCATGCTCCATTTCAGTTCCATCTATTTTTTCATCCTGGTCCCTTCAATATCTTTGCTCTCTGATTGTTTCTTCATGCTCCATTTCAGTTCCATCTATTGTTTCATCCTGGTGCCTTCTATATCTTTGCTCTCTTATTGTTTCTTCATGCTCCATTTCAGTTCCATCTATTGTTTCATCCTGGTCCCTTCAATATCTTTGCTCTCTTATTGTTTCTTCATGCTCCATTTCAGTTCCATCTATTGTTTGATCCTGGTCCCTTTAATATCTTTGCTCTCTTATTGTTTCTTCATGCTCCATTTCAGTTCCATCTATTGTTTCATCCTGGTCCCTTCAATATCTTTGCTCTCTGATTGTTTCTTCATGCCCCATTTCAGTTCCATCTATTGTTTCATCCTGGTCCCTTCAAAATCGTTGCTCTCTTATTGTTTCTTCATGCTCCATTTCAGTTCCATCTATTGTTTCATCCTGGTCCCTTCAATATCTTTGCTCTCTTATTGTTTCTTCATTTCAGTTCCATCTATTGTTTCATCATGGCCCTTCAACATCTTTGCTCTCTTATTTTTTCTTCATGCCCAATTTTAGTTCCATCTATTGTTTCATCCTGGTGCCTTCAATATCTTTGCTCTCTGATTGTTTCTGCATGCCCCATTTCAGTTCCATCTATTGTTTCATCCTGGTCCCTTTAATATCTTTGCTCTCTGATTGTTTCTGCATGCCCCATTTCAGTTCCATCTATTGTTTGATCCCAGTCCCTTCTATATCTTTGCTCTCTTATTGTTTCTTCATGCCCCATTTCAGTTCCATCTATTGTTTCATCCTGATCCCTTCTATATCTTTGCTCTCTGATTGTTTCTTCATGCTCCATTTCAGTTCCATCTATTGTTTCATCCTGATCCCTTCAATATCTTTGCTCTCTGATTGTTTCTTCATGCTCCATTCAGTTCCATCTATTGTTTCATCCTGGTCCCTTCAATATCTTTGCTCTCTTATTGTTTCTTCATGCCCCATTTCAGTTCCATCTATTGTTTCATCCTGGTCCCTTCAATATCTTTGCTCTCTTATTGTTTCTTCATGCTCCATTTCAGTTCCATCTATTGTTTCATCCTGTTCCCTTTAATATCTTTGCTCTCTTATTGTTTCTTCATGCTCCATTTCACTTCCATCTATTGTTTCATCCTGGTCCCTTCAATATCTTTGCTCTCTTATTGTTTCTTCATGCCCCATTTCAGTTCCATCCATTGTTTCAGCCTGGCCCCATCTATATGGTATGTATGTGGTACATAGGTGGTAGGTATGTGGTTTATAGCTGGTATATAGATGTATGTATGTGGTATATACGTGGTATATAGGTCGTTTATGGGTGTATGTATGTGGTATATAGGTGATATACAGGTGTATGTATGTGGTTTATAGCTGGTATATAGGTGTATGTATGTGGTATATAGGTGTATGTATGTGGTATATAGGTGTATGTATGTAGTATATAGGTGTATGTATGTGGTATATATATGAATGTGGTATATTGGTGGTATTAATGTGGTATATAGGTGGTATGAATGTGGGATATAGGTTGTATGTATGTGGTATATAGGTGGTATTAATGTGGTATATACCGTATTCGACGTAATAAGCGCCCTGCTCTAATATGCGCCCACAGCAATATTTGCTAATATATTGGCTAGTGAACAATCCCAATTAGCACCCCTTCCGATTGTACACAAGACTTATTTATTCGCGTATAATACGCACTCATGTGTTATATGCACCCTTAATTATGGGCAATTAAATTCTGGAAAATATATCTATCGTATATAACATTTCAGGCTGTCAGCATAAACCAAGGAATTTATCTTTCAACTCAATAATATTCTAATAAGAACACCCTATTTCTAATTTTGAGAGCGACCTGGGCGCTTATTACGCCAAATACAGTAGGTGTATGTATGTGGTATATAGGTGGCATATTGGTGGTATGAATGTGGTAAATAGGTGTATGTATGTGGTATATAGGTGGTATATTGGTGGTATGAATGTGGTAAATAGGTGTATGTATGTGGTATATAGGTGGCATATTGGTGGTATGAATGTGGTAAATAGGTGTATGTATGTGGTATATAGGTGGTATATTGGTGGTATGAATGTGGTAAATAGGTGTATGTATGTGGTATATAGGTGGCATATTGGTGGTATGAATGTGGTAAATAGGTGTATGTATGTGGTATATAGGTGGCATATTGGTGGTATTAATGTGGTAAAAAGGTGTATGTATGTGGTATATAGGTGGTATATTGGTGGTATGTTTGTGATATTTTCAGGGAAGCAAACCGAATGAACTTAGCGTTTGAAGCTATGGATATGGATCCCGTAACCAGCACTGTTGTTGATAGGATCAGTGTATATATGGGCCCAGCTGTCCCAGGTAGTTTGAATTTTATTGATAGCTTCTGATCATAGCAGGGTTATGTTTTCTTTCTTAGTGACTTCTGATGTTAAAGCAGTTTACATTTGTTTTGCACTTGTATATATAAAGTTGGTATATAAGTGGTATATTATGTAGGATGTCTTAAACAGTTGTTTTATGCTCAGAGTTGAGAAATGAAACAATGTCAGTAGTGGTCAAATACCACACAACACCATCAGCCCTCATCTGTGAGGAGACTGTAACAACTAGCACCTAAATTAATAGCATACAGAATAAACGTAGCTCTTCTTATGTGTTGATTACAACATAAACTTTCAGAATGTGATATCTGGTAAAGATGGCTACACAATAATAGTAACATCTACCTGGCTGGCTTTTGTTACATGTTTTGAAATACACTCAATATTTTAAAATTAGAATCTAACAGAGACAGGATGAGTAATCTGTATATGTACAATGGACAAGACAGTACTTACAATTGAGATTTTTGTCTGCACCTGCCTGGGATATTTCAGTAGCTTCTCCTGGAACATGAACACCATGTATTACTGAAGTGGCCCATCTGTTGTCACGTGTGTGTGTGTCATCAGGTCAGGATTGCATGGGGCAGTGGTCATGCTATTTATGGAGACATGAACACTATGTATCACTGATGTGGCCCATCTGTTGTCACGTGTGTGTGTGTGTGTGTCATCAGGTCAGAATTGCATGGGGCAGTGGTCATGCTATTTATGGAGACATGAACACCAGGTATCACTGATGTGGCCCATCTGTTGTCACGTGTGTGTCTCATCAGGGAAGAATTGCATCGGGCAGTGGTCATGCTGTTTATGAAGACACATGCAAATATATAGTGTCCTGCCTGTAGAGGTAACTATACATGCCTCAGAAGCTGGCAATGATATAACAACCAGAGTACCATAGTACTCACTTTTATTCAGTGATATGGTATTCAAGTGGTGAGGTTCTGCAAATTATCATGTATAAAAACACATAATTCTTATGAAACTTCTACCTCTATTACATCTCTGCCATAAATCCTGTATTTTGGCTTCAGTCACACTAACTAAAGTTGTCAGATTTTCAGCAGACGTCCTCTTCACTGTCAATTACACACACAACTAGTTGTTGCCAAGTAGCATCGTAACCACCCAAGCTGTGACGTAAACAATGGTGTCAACCTCACTTTTTTCCACTGTGTGCAAGAGCCATCACCTATTGTAACAGTAGTAATGATCTTGCTCTTGGTATTAATCACATTAATCTAAGATTAATCTAATAGTTTTCAATAATAACAGACATAAGTAGATATAAAAAGTTGCTGCTGGAATGACGATCGCATGCACATAAGTATAGCTGGTGCTTAGTGTTTGTGAGGTCAGAATGGAGTCTCCCTCTACCCTCGTGTGCAAGAAGTGTAGTTGTTCATGATCACGGAAGATCCTCATGATAACTGCATGAAGTGCAGAGGCACTGCCTGCAATGAATATAAGAGATGTGAGAATTGAGGCAACACATCTAAAAGACCTTCACTCAGATCATGCAGATCATACTGTACGGGCTCCGTTACACACGGGCACAAGCTGCACAGACCTTAATCATACCAGCATCCTGGACACCAGCGGATGCCTTGGTTGAGTTATGAAGGCAAGGTAGTAGACCAGATGTCTGACAGTCTACTCAAGCTCAGACATGATGAATGATGACCCTTACCGCCATTGAAGCGGAGGGTGTATAGAACACATGATGCTCCACTTCCGGGTTATCAAAGTTTGGACAAAGTCTTTATGAAGCTAGTACTCTCCACCCAAGTCTGATGCTCGTGATATCAACAACTGGATTGTCTGGTCCAGACCAGACTATTCCCAAGCCTGGATGTCTTCACAGCTATTATGAGTTCAGCGTCAACAAATACTAGCAGAGGTTCGTTCAAGAGCTGTTTCCAGGAAAACCAAGAGGTTGATAATGTTACAACCAATTTCTGCTCTCAAGACATTCAACGGCAAATTTGGACATATCATAGACAAAGTCAGACAAGATACAAGGAACAATTCCAAGCATCAACTATCAGCCTAGCTGCCAAGACACATTGATCTTCCCCTTCCCCCTCCCTCCCCAGAAGCATACCAGGGATCAGAAGGACTCGTCATATAAACAAGCCTCATTAGATGGAGTTTGTCAGCCCCCCCCCCCCCCCCCCCCCCACCCGTGAAGGATTCTTTCCAACCGAGTAGGGGATACGACAAGCGTCAGTCTTTTCAGGAATCAACTGCAATTTCAAGAAACATCCGATCCAATCTCAAGCTGTTGGACGCAGATTTCATCTAGTCGGAGCCAAGTTAGTGGCAGCAGATCTTGCCGTCAGGAAGCTAATAAAGAAACCAGCCATTCGGAGACTAGCGGAGACCAATAAGACCAAGTATTTTTTCTCTGGTATTCATAGTTCCGAAGAAGAATACTCCTGACATGAGAATGAGAATTGACCTAAAGACACTCAACTGGGTCATAGTTCACAACACTGGACCAGTCGTAACATTTTTCATGGGGATCAACTTGCTCTTACACCGACAACATCACAGTTCCCACTCAGATCCTGGACACACCACTGGTCTGCAGTGTGTACAGCTTGAAACTAGTCGACACAACAAACATGATTACAGTTTACTGCACTGGAAGAATTAAATGTCACGTGTCTAGGCTGACTGTAAACATTTTTATCGAAAACAGGACTACTGACTTAGTGGGATCCATGCAGTATATTTCTACAGACTGACTTACATGATCGCTTATATGAATGCAGAACACTACAACTACTCAACCAGACGCCTGTCGCTGTACATCATGTAGCCGACTACTACAGTGGACATCCGATGCCTGCAAGCACAGTGAATGAGATACCATGCACCATCGTCTGCCGATATAACAACGGTAATGCTTATACGAAGCCCAAGAGAAGGAAACTATTCATTTCAGAACAAGTAATTTTTTATATTCAACCTGTCCTACGCGATACATTGTTGAATTCTTACCACGATACAGAAAGGGTGCGCCTATACGTCAACCAGGGATTTGGCATTGGATCTCTGACAACACAGTTTTCACGTTTCGTCATGTCCTGACTTGAGCGGAGAATCAACAGAAGTTGATGAGCTGACTCCATCAGTTGTTGGATTGAAGCGAGACATATTCCCAGGAAACAGAATATCCTTGCCGATAGCTTTCCTGCCAAGGGAGTATTGCGGCAACAGAATGGATCTTACATCCCAAGATTTTTGCTTGGATAATCATGTTATGGGACACACCACACCTAGATCTATTTATAACGATTATACCTCATACAACATCCATCCCTATGATAGCGATTTTTTCTCCTACATCCACGTCAGGAAAATAAGTTCCGAAAAGGGACGATAGAAGGTTACAGATCGGCTCTTCACTATGTACTAAAACATGATGGACTCTCAATTGGAAACCATCCCATTCTAAACAGACTAATGAGATCCTTTCTACTAGAAGATGTTCAAACACCTCGTATCTTCCCCAAGTGGAATCTATCTGTTGTGTTATCGGCACTTTGAACGGAACCTTACGAGCCCATGGCTAAGGCCACCTTACTCCAAACATCCTGGAAAGCATTCTTCAGAACTCCATGCCTTGGACTATTCTAGTTTCACTCATGATGAACATTGGACCACAATTACTCTAAGAACACTCCCAGATTTTGTAGCCAAGAATCAATCAATGACAATGGGGCTATTGGGTCATAGACACTACACCATCCCTGCATTGGGTGATTGAGTGAGTTGTGTTTAACCCCGCTTTTAGCAGTGTTTCAGTTATATCACGGCATGTCAGCTTAATGTGAGAAAGCCCGAAGTGATGAAGGTCTCAGACGTTTACCACTTTGGTGAAACCCACGAGCATGGGTATGGTGCTGACAAACCTAGAAACATAATCGCGGCAACCGGGATTCGAACACACAATCATAGGTTTCTGCACAGTGAATCGCGGCACCTTAGACGACTGGGCCACCTGTGCACCCACCCCACCCCCGCCTGCATTGGGACCAACAGTGGATCACCCAGACAGATTTTTATGTCCCATCAGAGCTCTTGAGAGACATCATTATATAATGAAAGGAAAGTGACAAACCGGAAGTGGCATCACAACCAGAAGTGACGTCAACGCCGTAAGTGATGTCAGCACTCATATTAATGTCACAAATCGGTGAGACATGGACAATGCCAGCCTCACCAGCCTTCACATACAGTTGTAAGTGATCAGATCATGATACACATGGACAATGCCAGCCTCACCAGCTTGTCACATACAGTTGAAGTGATCAGATCATGATAGACTTGGACAATGCCAGCAACACCAGCCTGTCACATATAGTTGAAGTGATCAGATCATGATAGACATGGACAGTGCCAACCTTACCAGCTTATCACATACAGTTGAAGTGATCAGATCATGATAGACATGGACAATGCCAGCCTCACCAGCTTGTCACATACAGTTGAAGTGATCAGATCGTGGTAGACATGGACAATGCCAGCCTCACCAGCTTGTCACATACAGTTGAAGTGATCAGATGATGATAGACATGGACAATGCCAGTCTCACCAGCTTGTCACATACAGTTGTAAGTGATCAGATCATGATAGACATGGACAATGCCAGCCTCACCAGCCTGTCAAATACAGTTGTAAGTGATCAGATCATGATAGACATGGACAATGCCAGTCTCACCAGCTTGTCACATACAGTTGTAAGTGATCAGATCATGAGAGACATGGACAATGCCAGCCTCACCAGCTTGTCACATACAGTTGTAAGTGATCAGATCATGAGAGACATGGACAATGCCAGTCTCACCAGCTTGTCACATACAGTTGTAAGTGATCAGATCATGATACATGGACAATGCCAGTCTCACCAGCTTGTCACATACAGTTGTAAGTGATCAGATCATGATAGACATGGACAATGCCAGTCTCACCAGCTTGTCACATACAGTTGTAAGTGATCAGATCATGATAGACATGGACAATGCCAGACTTACCAGCTTATCACATACAGTTGTTAATGATCAGATCATGATAGACATGGACAATGCCAGACTTACCAGCCTGACACATACAGTTGTAAGCGATCAGATTATGATAGACATGGACAATGCCAGCCTCACCAGCCTGACACATACAGTTGTAAGTGATCAGATCATGATAGACATGGACAATGCCAGACTTACCAGCTTATCACATACAGTTGTAAGTGATCAGATCATGATAGACATGGACAATGCCAGCCTCACCAGCTTATCACATACACTTGTAAGTGATCAGATCATGATAGACATGGACTATGCCAGCCTCACCAGCTTGTCACATACAGTTGTAAGTGATCAGATCATGATAGACATGGACTATGCCAGCCTCACCAGCTTGTCACATACAGTTGAAGTGATCAGATCATGATAGACATGGACAATGCCAGCCTCACCAGCTTGTCACATACAGTTGTAAGTGATCAGATCATGATAGACATGGACAATGCCAGACTTACCAGCTTATCACATACAGTTGTAAGTGATCAGATTGTGATAGACATGGACAATGCCATCCTCACCCGCCTGTCAAATACAGCTGAAGTGATCAGATCGTGGTAGACTTGGACAATGCCAGCCTCACCAGCTTGTCACATACAGTTGTAAGTGATCAGATCATGATACACTTGGACAATGCCAGCCTCACCAGCTTGTCACATACAGTTGAAGTGATCGGATCATGATAGACATGGACAATGCTAGCCTCACCAGCTTATCACATACAGTTGTAAGTGATCAGATCGTGATAGACATGGACAATGCCAGACTTACCAGCTTGTCACATGCAGTTGTAAGTGATCAGATCGTGATAGACTTGGACAATGCTAGCCTCACCAGCTTGTCACATACAGTTGTAAGTGATCAGATCATGATAGACATGGACAATGCCAGACTTACCAGCTTGTCACATACAGTTGAAGTGATCAGATCATGATAGACATGGACAATGCCAGCCTCACCAGCCTGTCAAATACAGTTGAAGTGATCAGATCATGATAGACTTGGACAATGCCAGCCTCACCAGCTTGTCACATACAGTTGTAAGTGATCAGATCATGATACACTTGGACAATGCCAGCCTCACCAGCTTGTCACGTACAGTTGAAGTGATCAGATCGTGATAGACATGGACAATGCCAGACTTACCAGCTTATCACATACAGTTGAAGTGATCAGATCATGATAGACATGGACAATGCCAGCCTCACCAGCTTGTCACATACAGTTGTAAGTGATCAGATCATGATACATGGACAATGCCAGTCTCACCACCTTGTCACATACAGTTGAAGTGATCAGATCGTGATAGACATGGACAATGCCAGACTTACCAGCTTATCACATACAGTTGAAGTGATCAGATCATGATAGACATGGACAATGCCAGCCTCACCAGCCTGTCACATACAGTTGTAAGTGATCAGATCATGATACATGGACAATGCCAGTCTCACCAGCTTGTCACATACAGTTGTAAGTGATCAGATCATGATACATGGACAATGCCAGTCTCACCAGCCTGTCACATACAGTTGAAGTGATCAGATTGTGATAGACATGGACAATGCCAGGCTCACCAGCTTATCACATACAGTTGAAGTGATCAGATCATGATAGACATGGACAATGCCAGACTTACCAGCTTATCACATACAGTTGAAGTGATCAGATCGTGATAGACATGGACAATGCCAGACTTACCAGCTTATCACATACAGTTAAAGTGATCAGATCATGATAGATATGGACAATGCCAGACTTACCAGCTTATCACATACAGTTGTAAGTGATCAGATCATGATAGACATGGACAATGCCAGCCTCACCAGCTTGTCACATACAGTTGAAGTGATCAGATCATGATAGACATGGACAATGCCAGACTTACCAGCTTGTCACATACAGTTGAAGTGATCAGATCATGATAGACATGGACAATGCCAGACTTACCAGCTTATCACATACAGTTGTAAGTGATCAGATGATGATAGACATGGACAATGCCATCCTCACCAGCCTGTCAAATACAGTTGAAGTGATCAGATCGTGGTAGACTTGGACAATGCCAGCCTCACCAGCCTGTCACATACAGTTGTTAGTGATCAGATCGTGATAGACATGGACAATGCCAGCCTCACCAGCCTGTCACATACAGTTGAAGTGATCAGATCGTGATAGACATGGACAATGCCAGCCTCACCAGCTTGTCAAATACAGTTGAAGTGATCAGATCGTGATAGACATGGACAATGCCAGCCTTACCAGCTTGTCACATACAGTTGTTAATGATCAGATCATGGAAGACTTGGACAATGCCAGCCTTACTTCTATGTAATGCAGTACACGATAAATAATACACTATCATTTCCCAGGCAGTTGAGGAGGGGGAAGGTGAGCAGGGGTTTAAAGTTGGCTTGTTGAGATAGAGAAGTTGAGATGAGGTGCAGACTGCAATACACAACAATAAATAACAATGGAGGGTTGGCTCCCTTGGCTAGCACAATGACAACACACATGTGAATCTGCTCCATCCAATTGTCCACCATAGATGAATAAATAGAGGATATTTCATGTGTCAAGTGAAATATCATGTTTCTGTCATCGAGTGACAGGGGGTGAAGGAGATATTTTCGTGAAACTATCTCCTTTTCCCCCGTCACAAGATGAGAGAAACATAAAATTTCAGGAGACATATGGAACATCTTATTTATTATATACTTTTTGTGTAGGTGTCTTTCAGAAAATTAAATTATTTCATTAAAAATGTAAAACCTTAAAACGTAAATTCTCCCTATCTATTACACAGGGACGGTTCAGCACCCCTTGAGTTTGCGACTTAAAACGTAGTTTCGTGTTTGCAAAATCTTAAACAATATAAACAATAGTATCAAAAAATATTTAGGGTCACGAAAATTCTATATCACACATTTAGATATGATTATATACAAAATCAACTTTAACAATAAAATATTCTTCAAAACTAGGAGACTGCTGTTGGAAGCAAAAGAATATACACTGGTCAAGTAATAAAATGGTACTTTGCTAAACGAACGGTCTCAATTGACGAGTTAAATGAGAAATTTACAGTATATAACGAAACATTTTCAAGAGAAGAACATCCGTGAGAAGTGATATTGACTCCATAAATGACTATCTGTCATTATTTTGCAGTGTCAATGTGGAACTAATTAAAAAGGACGTCAGCAGTTTGTGTACGGGCTGGACACTTACGATAAAGGAAGACAATTTAAGGGGAGGTAACTCTTGTATGACAATAGTTCCGTCAAAGTGTTACGTTAACTGCAGTGAAATATCAAGTGTTATGTTCACTGCAAATATCACATTTCTCAGCTTCAGAAAACTCAGTTTTTCATACTTAAGTATATTATAAAGGGACAATAAGTGAACAGTTATGTGTGTTTGAAATCATGCACAAAATAATGTCATATGCCCAAATCAATTCTCAAACCAAAACAACAGAGCTCCACACAGTAAAGCTGACAATGCAAATATTGCACAGAGTAAACTGGCTTCGGTCTTCTTTCTAATAGAGGCAACTTGAAGAGAATAAATACATCCTCTAACAACTAAGGTTTGTTTCAAGGCGTCAAAGTGTAATCTGATTGTGATTGAGGTGAGGTGAAAACAATGCGATCAAATATAGCATGCAGTTACTTCCCTTTACATGCACACTGTTTTACTGTGCATCTTGTGTGTTATGGTCATGGCAGCAATAGGAGTTTGTGTGCTTGTTTTTCTGTTTGCAAATTCGGTCAATGAAAACATGAAATTTACAATAAACAACACTAGACATGATGATTTACAAATTCAATTATATTTGTGTACTGTATGCTGGACAATGTTTTATATGCAGATATTAAGATTACATATGTATTTGTCTCATAAATTAAGCAGCCCCTGAAGATCCAGGGTAGAATAGGTCTTCAGCAACCCATGCCTGACGTAAAAGGCGACTATGCTTGTTGTAAGAGGCGACTATGCTTGTCGTAAGAGGCGACTAATGGGATCGGGTGGTCATCAATCCCAATTGTGTGGATCCTTGCTGATGATATTAATCACTGGATTGTCTGGTCCAGACTCAATTATTTATAGACCACCGTCATATAGCTGGAAAATTGCTGAGTGCGGCGTTAAACAACAAACCAACCAACTTAAATTAAGCCTGAAATAGCAATCAGCTGTTTACACATTTTCTCCCAGCTCTATGGGTGATTTTGTTTAAAAAATACTTAATGTCATGGCCAATATCATAACTGACAAGAAATTCCATAGGAATTGATAGGAAGACCGAAGACTTTGTATCTCTAACGATTAATGTTTGTTTCAAGGCAAGTTCATGTTGAGTTGATGTGATCTGCCGATTAGTTCATGCATAATTTGCCTAAATTATTGTAAACAAAATTGAATGAAATCTTGGACAAAAGTAATATAATTGATTACAAACATAAGGCCACATACATAATGAACACTTTTATAGCTAGATAGTGAAATAATATGACTAACTTGTGTACTTCAGTACAGTATTTGTTGACATGCTTCTTCTGGTGCGGTGTTCTCACGATAACGATTTCGCATTGTGAATCATCAAGGAATACATTTATGTAGGGAGGCCCTGGTATCAGTACCAAATGCTTCTTAAAGTTAAACTGTTGAATGACCTTTCTTGTGAAGCATCCAAAATCTCTAAATGTGTGTTTTGTTCAACCATTGATAACATTTTGGACTGAAATTGCTGAAACATATGACACACATGTCACAAACCAAGGTCAAGAAATCTGTCCATGGATGCTGGAGAAGTGAGACTTTCCTACCTGTAGTGACATACTGGTTCCTCCTCTCCTCCCCAGCTAGCTGCTTCACTCCGGGCCCCCGATAATATTCCTTTTCTCTGGGCAAGTAGGCTGCACAGGACAAAACTGAGTATGAAAACCATGATAGTTTCCACAAACAACAAGCCTGTCACCCTCTATATCTCCAGGGCTCACAGTTTGGTAAACCTACACTAACCCCAGGACCCATTCTTGTGCTTCTTACAATCCTATATTTCTCCTCTTGATTTTCATAAACATTTTACTGACCAATCAAATAACAAGATATGGAAAATGGAAATTGGTAAGGGTGGTAACTCGATATCGCCAACCCAACATTACATTCTCATTGGTACTTGGACCAAGGAGCATAGCAAATCAAATTGGCTAATGCAAATCAAATGTGGGTAATTTGAGATCGGGAGAAACACGGGAATAGCTCCATGGGTTAGGGTAGGTCTATGGAAATGCAAGCAAAGAGGATGCTAACCTGTCTTAAATATATATAACCTCTTACTTGAAAACAACTAATATACCTAAGAAATATAGTTTGCCCTTCCTCCATGGTTAGTGTAGTTAAGTATAGTTTTGCCATATTATAGTTAAAGCACAAGGAAGCTCATGTTCACACCACCTGGGTAAAATAAAGTAAACATACATGCATATTTATTCAATGGTTTTGAATTTCAACAAAGACAGCCACTTAACAATATATATATATATATATATATATATACTGAACCACAAAAGAAACATCACCTCAAGTAACATTGCATGAAAAGTTGTCATTTAAATATCTGGGTAATTTTTGTCCAAGTTTCTAAAATTTAACATTAGTTTGTCCGGAAAAATGAAATTTGATAATAAAAATACAAAGCAGATGACAATAAAACTGATCGGCCAAACGCATCACGGCAATGGCCATGGTAACCCGATGCATGTGAGTTCTGTGCAAATTGAATTGCAAATGCGCTCCCTCCTTTCTCTGTCTATTAAAATCCACCCAGATCGGATAACATTCCTTCGTTATTGAATTGCTATCACATGCCAAGATTGACAAGAAATCAGCGACACCAAGCCCTTGGACGATTGCAAGGTGGACAAACCAACCGGCAAGTAGCCAATGCATTTCAAGTCCACGTAAGGACCATATACAGGCTCCAGCAACGGTACCTGACCACCAACACTACAGATGACCGACCATGTAGTGGAAGAACAAGGGTCACCACCCGACATCAGGATCGTCAGATTGCGCGACAGCATCTTCAAGATCGCTTTGTTAGTGCTGCGGAAACTGCTCGACAGACCATGGGGACACACCAGTGACATATTAGTGCGGACACCATGCGTCAATGATTGACGAGCAGACACCTCCACTGTCACAGGCCACACCGAGGACCAATTCTGACATCACGTCATCGCCGGGACTGTCTTCTGTGGGCAACACAGCCGCAGCATTGGCGCCACCAGCAGTGGGGAAGAGTCCTCTTCTCAGACCAGAGCCGTTACTGTGTCTCAACAGCAGATGACAGAGAGAGAGTCTGGCGACGCCGTGGGGAACATTATTCTGATGCTTGTGTTGTTGAGAGAGACTCGTGGGGTGGTCCGACCATCATGGTGTGGGGTGGAATTGGTCTTCCACAGAGGGTCGGATCTGTTGTCTTCCAGAACATCGGTCCAGGGAGAGGCAATGGTGTCACAGCAGCTCAGTACATTGATCACCACACGCCACACGCCATACCAAATTGGGCACGTTGCCGCATCCGCATTCAGCATGATAACGCCTGTGCCCACACTGCGAGAGCAACCAGAGACTTCCTCCAGCAGAATGGCATCAGAACCATGCAGTCCATGCCTTCAGTCCCGATTTAAATGCCATTGAGCACCTGTGGGACGAGGTTCAAAGACGGCCCAAGGCCGACAACCAACTGCAGCTGAACTGTGTTAGGCGTTCCTCAGAATGTGGGCTCAAGTGCCTATGGCCTTCATCAACCGCCTCATCCATTCCATGCATCGACGTTGCATTGCAGTCATCAATGCACATGGCGGACAAACGAGATACTGACTTGTGATGCCATTTTCTCTGAGACTAGTGTTGTGTTTCACTTTAAGAACATTTGACACTTTAATTTCAACCTTGATGATTAGTTTTGCCAAGTTTCATCTTTTTCATATGTCTCAAAGTATGCTTACAGTGTTTGGACAAATAATGTTTCTCATATATCTATCCATGTTGATGTTTCTTTTGTAGTTCAGTATATATACTGGAACGAAGACATTTTATAGTTCAATGAAATACAATATCATCTCTTGGAGAACTCATCTACAGCTAAGACCTATCAATGGCAGAAGCGTATGCAACCCGTTAAGGGAGCACATTATCTGTCCCCAACATCCAGGGATACGCCAAATTTTGTCACATCAGGCAAGCCTAGCTTGGTGTAGACAGCATGTGAGGTTTAGAAGACAGAACTGGGACAGCATAGTGTTCACAGATGAGTCCAGGTTTCATCTGCACAGTTCTGATGGTCGTACCAGGGTCTACAGGCATCCAGAAGAACATTCTTGTTTGTGGGTCGAAGTGCATTTGGAATGGGGTGGCATCACAACTCATGGGAGAACACAACACATCATTGTTAATGGCAATTTGAAAGGCTTACACTACTGGAATGATATCATTTGAGATCATGTTCTGCCCTTTGTGCAAATACAGAGACATAACGTCACGTTGCAGGGGGGCAATGCCCGCCCATACATTGCACATGTTGTAACAGATGTTAGAGGCAGCACAACATTGCTGTACAGCCATGGCCGACTGTTTCTCCACACCACACCTCTCCCCTATAGAACAGGTCTGGGGTGAGATGGAACGACACTAACACTAGCTCAGTTGGGCAAATCTGTGGTTGACATCTGGAACAAAATCTCCAAAGCTGTTTTCAATCTCACCTTTAAATTGCAGTTCCAGTTGTTTCGACAATTGAATCATGTTTGCCAAACGTATTGCAAAGATAAGTTTGACTAAAGCTTGGGAGTATTCCAGACTTTGGAGACTTGGTGCACACTCTAGCATCTTCTGTATTCTTTCCCTAGTAGTGAAATGCTGTAAACCTGAGTGTAGCCGCTTAATGTCATCATCTTTGTAGCCAAGGTGTGTCCAGAATGCTGGCAAATTGTTGCAATACATGTCTTGACACAAGTCTTCACTGATCTGTAGTCGAAAACTCTCTGGCACACCTGACAACAACAGCAACACTAGCAGGACATTCTTTAACATTAATCAACTGACTTTTAATTTCATGTATGGTCTGTTGTAGTCGTCTTTCAACATAGCAATACGTCATGATGATGTATGTGAATAATGTTACAAAATGTCTAACATCACTGCTGTTCTATGAAATATAGATCTTAAAGACAAAAAGACAATGCATTCTGATAACATATGTGAATCAAAATATAATGTGCCTTTTGCCTCTGTGTATGACCGTTACCATTGTGTGCTGTGTGGCCAAATGGAGGGCACATGTCTGCCACAGGGTTGGCGGTAGGAGTCATCACCACATCACTCCCTGAGACCCCCCCCAGGGGTGCTTCTGCAGCCGTCACACATCCCCTCTGGTGTCTCCGTTCTGTACACAAACATATGTCATGTGGCATATAAATAAGAACAGTGTTTGCAAGTACTTGTAAAAACAGACGCAGCCCTAGTCTGTCTCTCGGTCACTGAACCATATTGTTTTCCCTTCCACCCAGTCCTCACTGTAATGTTTTAGTTATAAATAAAGCAAGTCTAGATTTTCAACAGGTTCAGAATCTCACATCTCACTGTGGCTCCTTTTCAATTTAAATATACCTGTTTGTTTCTATCCAAATTACGCTTTCAGAGGCTTGCATTAGTCTAAGGCAGCCCCTTCATCAGAAGTTCCCTGAAACTATCACCTACAACCAGGCATTTCCAGTGGGATACCTCAGGAGATTTAACGACACTTCCGGTTTACAAAATTCATGTCATATGCAGTGGACAGTATGTGAAAATGCATGTCTGAAAGCAATAGAACCTTAACACAGAAAACCCATGCTTCATAAAAAAAGAGAGTTTAAAGACTTCACTTGTTTGTTGCAATAATGGCACTTTCGAGATCATTCAATTCATTGAAGCAGACATTTTCTTCTTCCTGTTCTGAGACTACAGGTCGGACTGCCGAAGACTAAACACTGCATATCCAGCACTTTTTATGACAATTTCATAGTCCAGAAAACTTCATGTTCATTGAAGATGAAGCTGTTAACATAATCATGTCTCTCAGAAACACTGGTTGCCACATCGATTAGTACTTAAAGCTGTAGCTCCTTACTAGTGTATTGGTCTAGTTGAATCACTGACAGCTGTAACTCCTTACCAGTGTATTGGTCTAGTTGAATCACTGACAGCTGTAACTCCTTACCAGTGTATTGGTCTAGTTGAATCACTGACAGCTGTAACTCCTTACCAGTGTATTGGTCTAGTTGAATCACTGACAGCTGTAACTCCTTACCAGTGTATTGGTCTAGTTGAATCGCTGACAGCTAAACCAGTGTATTGGTCTATCTGAATCACTGACAGCTGTACCAATGTATTGGTCTAGCTGAACCACTGACAGCTGTGCCAGTGTATTGCTCTAGCTAGCTGAATCACTGACAGCTGTGCTAGTGTATTGGTCTAGCTGAATCACTGACAGCTGTGCTAGTGTATTGGTCTAGCTGAATCACTGACAGCTGTGCCAGTGTATTGGTCTAGCTGAATCACTGACAGCTGTGCTAGTGTATTGGTATAGCTGAATCACTGACAACTGTGCCAGTGTATTGGTCTAGCTGAATCACTGACAGCTGTGCCAGTGTATTGGTCTAGCTGAATCGCTGACAGCTGTGCCAGTGTATTGGTCTAGCTGAATCACTGACAGCTGTGCCAGTGTATTGGTCCAGCTGAATCGCTGACAGTTGTACCACTGTATTGGTCTAGCTGAATCGTTGACAGCTGTGCCAGTGTATTGGTATAGCTGAATCACTGACAGCTGTGCCAGTGTACTGGTCTAACTGAATAACTGACAGCTGTGCCAGTGTATTGGTCTAGCTGAATCACTGACAGCTGTGCCAGGGTATTGGTCTAGTTGAATCACTGACAGCTGTACCAGTGTATTGGTCTAGTTGAATCACTGACAGCTGTGCCAGTGTATTGGTCTAGCTGAATCACTGACAGCTGTGCCAGTGTATTGGTCCAGCTGAATCGCTGACAGTTGTACCACTGTATTGGTCTAGCTGAATCGTTGACAGCTGTGCCAGTGTATTGGTATAGCTGAATCACTGACAGCTGTGCCAGTGTACTGGTCTAACTGAATAACTGACAGCTGTGCCAGTGTATTGGTCTAGCTGAATCACTGACAGCTGTGCCAGGGTATTGGTCTAGTTGAATCACTGACAGCTGTACCAGTGTATTGGTCTAGCTGAATCACTGACAGCTGTGCCAGTGTATTCGTCTAGCTGAATCACTGACAGCTGTGCCAGTGTATTGGTTTAGCTGAATCACTGACGGCTGTAGCTACTTACCAGTGTATTGGTTTAGCTGAATCACTGACAGCTGTAGCTACTTACCAGTGTATTGGTTTAGCTGAATCACTGACAGCTGTAGCTACTTACCAGTGTATTGGTTTAGCTGAATCACTGACAGCTGTAGCTACTTACCAGTGTATTGGTTTAGCTGAATCACTGACAGCTGTAGCTACTTACCAGTGTATTGGTTTAGCTGAATCACTGACAGCTGTAGCTACTTACCAGTGTATTGGTTTAGCTGAATCACTGACAGCTGTAGCTACTTACCAGTGTATTGGTTTAGCTGAATCACTGACAGCTGTAGCTACTTACCAGTGTATTGGTTTAGCTGAATCACTGACAGCTGTAGCTACTTACCAGTATATTGGTCAAGCTTCCTCACCAAGTCTTGCCGTGTCAGTGCCACCAGATTTTGTCGGAGTCTGTCAACACTAACAGGGGAGATAATCTTGGATTCTTCCATCAACGTGACCAAGTCAAGGCCTGATGACACCTTGCCTCGCTTTGCCTTAGGTATTTTATCAAGAAGGAAGGACAGTTTATTTGTGTCCTCCCCTGTTAAATCCTGTGCTGTGTCAAATAGCATCAACCTAAAACACAGAAAACACACTAGTCTTAGGGATCATTCACAATTTATGGCTTTGAGGGTTTGGTGAGGATTTTGCAAGAAAAACTAATACTGCAAAAGGAAAATCTATGTTTCAATACTTTATTCACAGATCAGCGATCAGTCTCAAAAGAAAGAAAAGAAAGTACCGAAACGAAAACAACAAATGCCATTTAAGAAATAGTATATGTTCCGCACATCGTTTTTTTCACCAAATAGTAAACTTAATCTGTGATATAAATGACCTTTGTCACATTTCTGTTGTTGAAAGAAAGAGAAGTATGTCTTGAACCATTAATCCCACTCATATGATGGTCAGTTGTAAATTGCAGGTAGGAGAATGTCCAAGGGTTAAAAGGGGTGAAGAATAGGTTTACTTTGCCGAAAATGTGTGCAGTCGACCACGGACAGGAATGGAGGTCTGCTTGTTGGGGTGAATTTTCCTCCAACAAGACCAATGGGGCACGGGTGGCCCAGTCATCTATGGCGCAGCAATTCAGTGTGCAGAGTTCAATCCTTGGTCATGCCAGACACCTATGATTGTTGGTTCGAATCACGGTTCGCCCCGATTATGTTTCTAGGTTTGTCAGCACCATACCCGTGCTCGTGGGTTTCACTAAAGTGGTAAATGTCTAAGACCTGCATCACTTCAGGCTTTCCTCCCACATAAAGCTAACAGGCCGTGATATAACTGGAATACTGTTAAAAGCGGCGTTAAACCCAACTCACTCACTCACTTCAACAAGACCATATAATAAAACTTTGCCTCGGCTGTATTTTCGTTTCAGTCTTCGAAATTGATAGACAGATTTAAAGTGCAAATAACCCTTACATATGTTTCGATGCCTGTTTTAATGAAAACAATATTTATAACAGCGATATGACAATATTTCCAAATGTGCAAAGTAATATGTACCCCTATGACTTGCATCTTAAATAAACAGTACGTTTACTCTGTAATTTGAAACTTCTAAGGATAATAATATTTTAGAATTCAATTGTCCTTTAAACAAATACAAGACTAGATTGTACAAAAATTTACCTGTAATCAGAAATCTTCCCTGTTGGCAGATAAGTACTTTTCAAATCCTCCGTAATTTCCTCATCTACATAGTCTATAAGATCAAGCCGCCCAATTTTATTGAACATTTCCACCAAAAGCCAACGGTTTGAAGTATCTATCAACTTGCTGGTCTCCAGTGCTGTAAATAGTTCATGTCCAGTTGACATCTTCGTCAGCTTGTTTTTAGGCAAATTGTCCTTTATGAGGAACTTGAGGGCTTGCAGATCTGCCTGGTGGAGATCACTGTCAATCTTCAGCAACATAGCATGGAAGCTACGCTCAGCCACAGCATCAGACTCAACATCCATACTCTTCGTCTTCAGAGGGAACTAACAGTGTCCAAGGTCTCCTACCATCAGGCGCTGGAAACAATTGTACACGGATGTAAGAAGTCATGTCCATCAACTGCCATATGAAATAACATGACAATTTATAATAATCTGCTAGGCTTAAATCACAAGTATCTACATGAAGAAAGACAAGTTCTATGGATGAACAACTTCTTTATTACAATTAGTGCCACGTTTCGGTGTAGATCCTAACACCTTTATCAAGCAAGTGATGGATAGTGCTACTTACTTTACTTACTTACTTTGGAGATTTAACGTGCGCTTTCCGACTGATGCGTATTCCGCACACGGGCCCGGCCAGGCCATTTAATGTGTTTCCGAAAGGGGCGAAAGTGGTGTGTTCAACCCAAGAGGGGGATTAAGGGGTTGCTTATATAGAATTTGGGAATTTTGAGATTTGGAATAGATGCCGATGGGGTTGGGGAGTAGAACTAAGGGAGCTGGGTATGGTGGATGTTTGTTTGTTTATGTGATTTTGATTTGGTAGATTATAGTGTTTTTAGACGCGTTTTATTAGTTCCGTTTTGATTAAGAATACGCCTAAGGCCTTGAAGTTTTCTAGTTTATTTTGTGGGTTTAGTATTGCTTCTAGAGTGAGAGCCTTGTTTAGATTGAGGGTGGTTTGTAATGCGGTTCGATGTGTTAGGTAATGTGTGCAGTGGATAGTGCTGGACAACATAGGTATATATACTTATTAACATCATTGTTTATACAGTAAATTGATTGATGGACACAGAGAGCTGATTAAGATGATTGGAGGCCAGTGATTGACTAATGGGGCAGTGTAAACAACCACGGAAGCTGATTGGGATGATTGGAAGCCAGTAAATTAGAAGCCAGTGAATAGTCTAATTCAACACTGAGTCAGCAAGCAGACTGATAGGGATGATTGGATCCAGCCAGCAGTGAACAGAGATCAAGGCTACTACATCCCGCCTGCTTACCATCACCTAATTGCTAAATCCCTATGTCCATCCAATTAATCCACTGGCTTCCAATCATCCCTATCAGTCTGCTTGCTGACTCTGTGTCGAATTAGACTATTCACTGACTTCTAATTTACTGGATTTTACAATGATGTTAATAAGTATATATAACTATGTTGTCCAGCACTATCCAGCACTTGCTTGATAAAGGTGTTAGGATCTACACCGAAATGTCACACTAATTGCAATAAAGAAGTTGTTCATCCATAGAACTTGTCTTTCTTCATCACACCAACTTCTAAATGCCACTGAAAGAAGAATCTACATGTCTGACAGAGAGGCCATTTATATAACGCTGACCTTAGGGTTTCAAATTTGATGTCGAACAGTAGAAAAAGTGATTTATCTAGGATTTATCTGGGAGACAAAAGCCACTCTTTCTTTATTAGTCCTGTTATCAGTTAAATACAAGTCACCTCTAAAAAGCCATAACATTAATGAATTGAAAATTTATTTATTCAAATTTTTGTATTTCTACTGACATTTGTTGATTTGGGGTCGAATATCAGCCTCTGAGCCGGTCTAGATAAATCACTTTAGAAACTGTGTAAAAGTGAAATAGTCGCTTTCATGAGACATGTCGTATACAAACATTATTTTTAACTATATGAGTTCTGGTTACTTGTGAAGTTCTATACCTATAATCTATATATAGTTTGTTCTGAGATTACTTGGCCTACTCTGCAATCTTGTTCAGCCTAGGTTGATTTACCTCCTTCTTTGATTCTCAGTCACATGCGACTTAAGTTGACACTGTTCACTGTCTTTCAATAATCAGCGAGACAAACAAAACCAAACGTTGCAAAGTAAAAGTTCGTCTTGGCATTTCCGCATTGACAGGGGAATTCCCACATTCCGTAGCGCCCTCATATTTGCAAAGGGGATTAACTCCGTCACTCACAGCCGCGTCCAGCGTAAGCTCGGTTACTGTTGCTGAGGTTCATAAATAGCGCCACGTTATCAGAATTATAGTCGTACTATTTATAATGAGTGATATCGGCCCTAATCTGAAATTGCTAAAACAATTTTACAGCAGTGGATGCCTTACAGATTTTATGAATTCTGACACAAGGGTCCTACTTTAGTCAGTTGGATGCAGGCACGTACGAACCACCGGAGAGGAATTACCTATCCTGAGTGAATTAATGTTGTAAGTTCCGAGACCTACAAATCCGTAATCCCGCGTTGTGAGTATATTGTTAGCTGTATTAGCCATAGTATAGTTGTATAGTTACTTTTATCATCCAAAACTGGCTCCCACAGGAGATATCGCTTGGATTAGATCAAGCGATATCTACACTGTAGAAATCGCTGCAATGAAATTACATCACAATGCTTTGCAGACCATTGGGACGTCACTGGTTACCATGACGTCACAATCAAATGACATCACTAATGGCTCTGCTACTGAAGCTGTTAGCAGTACTTTTTACACTGAAGACACTGCTAATTACTGTCTACAAATTGAAAAAGTTGGAAGAATGATGTTGGATGATAAATATAATCTCACCCTCGTGTCTTTTGATATCAAATATATCAACACTCGTTGATAAAAGTGGCAAAAATCCTCGGCAAGCCTCGGAATTTTTCCACTTTTATCAACTCGTGTTGATATATTTGATATCAAAAGACACTCGGGTGAGATTCTCTATATAAAATGAAAAAAGTGTTAGTTTTCTGTTTAAATTGATTATGACGTCATGAACAATGGATGGTGTCATCTTCAATTACTTTCGAAAGCGCGTTCATATGACGTCACATATGACGGAGCTTTACACTATGGAACAACGAGCCAATCAGCATGAAGTAAAAATTATAATGTTCATTGAGAAATACTGAAATATTTGCACCTATATCGGTACCCCTAAGGATGATATGGAGAATCTCACCCGCGTGTCTTTTGATATCAAATATATCAACACGAGTTGATGAAAGTGGAAAAACTCCGAGGCTTGACGAGTCCCATGTGGGAACGCATACGGCCGGGTGGATGTATATTAATTAATTCCCACTGAGAATTTAACTTTATACTCATCAATATGTTGGTTGGTTTGTTGTTTAACGCCGCACTCAGCAATATTCCAGCTATATGACGGCGGTATGTTGTAAATAATTGAGTCTGGACCAGATTTACAGTGATTAATATCATGAGCATCGATCCACGCAATTGGGATTGATGACATGCATCAACCAAGTCAGCGAGCCTGACAACCCGATCCCGTTAGTCGCCTTTTACGACAAGCATAGTCGCCTGTTACGGCGAGCATGGGTTGCTGAGATCTATTCTACCCCGGATCTTCACGGGCTCATCAGTATTGACTACTGTCAATATTAATATTTAACGGCTTGCCACACATGTCATGTGACGTTGTTCCCAATATCAATCATAGGTTTACAGGCCACCTTCCTATAGCTGGATGAGAACATATTGATGAACATATAAACCTGTGATTGATATTGGGAACAACATCACACGACATGTGTGGCAAGCCGTTAAATATTAATATTGACAGTAGCGGGTGACCTCGCCAAGATGAACACTACCAAGCTGACTGTCGTTTATTTCCCGATGAACGCCAGTATGTCACGTGATTACGTTGTCAGTCGCGCGGAGAACAGAACTACTTTAGAGGAATTCCTCAATGTCTAAACATAACGTCAAATAGGGACGGTGTAATCATGACAATTTCTTTTAGAATATGCACATTGAACCAAACGAATGCAACAATCCACGTTTTCAAATAAAGAATGAATTTTGATCTTTTTATAATATAATTGTTGCCACAAACTTCCTTTTGCTAGTATCGAACGCGCCGCGTGCGTTGAGCGAACCCCACTGCATGGCCCATGACATCACCGATACCAGAACCATGGCGAACGCTGGTCAGGACGTGGATTTTGATGTATTGATGTATTTTAGCGATTTTGATATGGGAGTTCCTGATGTTATTGCACACATTTTTAACGAAACTATCTCGGCATCATCGGAAATATCAAACGAGAAATTGAAGATGAGTTAGCACTTTCAGTGATGCCGAAAGTTCACCTATCTTGGACGATTGCAAGCTAGACAAACCGCCCGGCGAGTAGCCAATGCATTTCAAGTCCACGTAAGGACCATATACAGGCTCCAGCAGCGGTACCAGACCATCAACACTACAGATAACCGACCACGTAGTGGCAGACCAAGGGTCACCACCACCCGACGCCAGGATCGTCAGATTGTGCGACAGCATGTTCAAGATCGCTTTGTTACTGCTGCGGAAACTGCTCGACAGACCATGGGGACACACCAGCGACATATTAGTGCGGACACCGTGCGTCGAGGATTGAGGAGCAGACACCTCCACTGTCACAGGCCACACCGAGGACCCATTCTGACACCACGTCATCACCGGGACCGTCTTCGGTGGGCAACACAGCACCGGCATTGGCCCCACCTGCAGTGGAGAAGAGTCCTCTTCTCAGACGGGAGCCGTTACTGTATCTCAACAGCAGATGGCAGAGAGAGAGAGAGAGTCTGGCGACGCCGTGGGGAACGTTATTCTTGTGTTGTTGAGAGAGACTCGTGGCTTGGTCTGAGCATCATGGTGTGGGTAGGAATTGGTCTTGCACAGAGGGTCGGCCCTGTGGTCTTCCAGAACATCGGTCCAGTGAGAGACAATGGTGTCACGGCAGCTTGGTACATTGATCAAGTCGCCGCAATCACGAGTTTCAGCATGATAACGCCCGTGCCCACCACCGTGCGAGAGCAACAAGAGACTTCCTCCAGCAGAATGGCATCAGAACTATGTAGTGGCCTGCCCTCAGTCGCGATTTAAATCCCATTGAGCACCCGTGGGACGAGATTCAAAGACGGCTGAATGACGTCCGACCAAGGCCGACAACTGCAGCTGAACTGCGTCAGGCGTTCCTATGGCCTTCATCAACCGGCTCATCCACTCCATGTATCGACGTTGCACGGCAGTCATCAATGCACATGTCGGACACACGAGATACTGACTTGCGATGCCATCTTCTCAGAGACATCTGAACACATGTATGTATGTGAACACCATGTATGTACCTGAACATCATGTATGTATCTGAACACCATGTATGTACCTGAACATCATGTATGTATGTGAACACCATGTATGTACCTGAACATCATGTATGTATGTGAACACCATGTATGTACCTGAACATCATGTATGTATCTGAACACCATGTATGTACCTGAATATCATGTATGTATGTGAACACCATGTATGTACCTGAACATCATGTATGTATGTGAACACCATGTATGTACCTGAACATCATGTATGTATGTGAACACCATGTTTGTATCTGAACATCATATACTGAACAACAAAAGTTCCTGTGACATTGAATAAGATTTAATGCAAAGTTATGTTTTTTACCAATTCTGAAACAATTTCGGTTTGCAACAGATAAAAGACTCATGTGGGTGTTCAAATGGTTTAATTTGCCATACTGATTTCAGAAAATGCGTGATATTATAAAAAAAACTTGAACATACCAAAATGTCAATTTGCATATCAATAGCGTATGTGTCCACCTCTGGCTGCGATGCAAACAACACATCTTCGTCTCATGGAATGGACCAGGCGTCGCACAAAGTCCTGTAGGATATCTGTCCATATCTGCTGGAGCATGTTTCAAAGTTCCTGAGTGTCTGTGGAATACTTGGTTGACGTCTAAGGCGCCGATCCATCTCATCCCACATGTGCTCGATTGGTGAGAGATCAGGGGAGCGAGCCGGCCAGGGGATGCATTCACGTTGTTTTGTTGAAGAGAATCCTGAACAAATCGAGCAATATGAGGCCGGGCGTTGTCATGTTGAAAGGTAATGCCTGAGCCATGACGACCCAAAAACGGTAGAACAACAGGGCCGATGATCTCGTCGCGGTAGCGCTGTCCATTGAGATTTCCCTCTATCACTATCAAACGGGTCCTAGCTCTTGCGGGTCTTGCTGTAATCCCAACCAATACCATAACGCTGCCGCCCCCGAACCGATCTTCTTCAATGACACAATGATTGACGTAACGTACACCTCGACGTCGGTACACTCGAATCCGTCCATCGCTGTGGCTGAGGTGAAAACGAGACTCGTCAGTGAATAGAACTGGTCCCCACTGCATGGCCGTCCAGCGTAGACGCTGTCTGCACCACTGTAGACGTGCTTGACGTCGGTTTCCTGTCAAAATGGGACGTCTGGCGGGTCTTCTGGCGACAAATCCCTGCACATCTGTGAAGATATTCGTCGAAGGCCAGGGACGCTTCTTGCAGTTACTGTTGCTGGCTGGAATCTATTTCGTAGGTAGTTGTTCGAATCCAGTTGTCTTGTCGATTATTGGTTACGCGTGGCCTGCCACTCCGAGGGTGGTTTCTCACTGCATTCGTCTGTTGCCAGCTGCGTTGCCATAAACACCAAATGGTGTTTCTGTTGACGTTAAATTGTCTTGCAACATCACGTTGACTCGATCCTGCTTCAAGCATACCAATGGCTCTCAGACGCTCATTTTCGGACAGGCGTGGCATTTCGTAATGTTGAATAATTGCGTAATTTTGTTGTTTTTCTGAGTGGTTGTTGTCAGCACGATGCTGAACAATGCATATGGAATCCCGTTGTTTTTCTGTAGCAGTTGCGTTTTTGTGACTTGATTCCATACATGTACTACAATGTTGAAAACCAAACTTTACTTGTTTGAAAAATACACTAAAATATTCGTGTCACAGGAACTTTTGTTGTTGAGTAGATAGAGAGGTAGACACCCTGCATGTATCTGAACATCGTGTATGCCTCTGAACACCCTGCATGTATCTGAACACCTTGCATGTATCTGAACATCGTGTTTATATCCGCGCACCCTGCGTTTATCTTAACACTGTGTAGGTATCTGAACACTTTTAAGGGATCTGAACACCCTGCATACATCTAAACACCATGTATATAACTGAACACACTGCATATATCTGAACACCATGTATGTACCTCAACACCCTACATGTATGTGAACACTATGCATATATCTGAACGCCATGTATGTGAACACCCTACATGTATCTGAACACACTGCATATATCTGAACACCATGTATGTACCTCAACACCCTACATGTATGTGAACACTATGCATATATCTGAACACCATGTATGTGAACACCCTACATGTATCTGAACACACTGCATATATCTGAACACCATGTGTGTACCTCAACACCCTACATGTAACTGAACACTATGCATATATCTGAACACCATATATGTAAACACCCTACATGTATCTGAACACACTGCATATATCTGAACACCATGTATGTACCTCAACACCCTACATGTAACTGAACACTATGCATATATCTGAACACCATGTATGTAAACACCCTACATGTATCTGAACACACTGCATATATCTGAACACCATGTATGTACCTCAACACCCTACATGTAACTGAACACTATGCATATATCTGAACACCATGTATGTAAACACCCTACATGTATCTGAACACACTGCATATATCTGAACACCATGTATGTACCTCAACACCCTACATGTAACTGAACTCCATGTATGTAAACACCCTACATGTATCTGAACACACTGCATATATCTGAACACCATGTATGTACCTCAACACCCTACATGTAACTGAACTCCATGTATGTATTTGAACACCCTGCATGTGTCTGAACACCATTATATGTATCTGAACCGTATGCAACTTAACATCATATATGTATATGAACACCATTTATGTATATCTAACTCAACACCATGCATATATGTGAACACCATCTATGTAACTGAACACCCTGCATATAACTGAACCTGTGTGTATCTTTTCTAAAAGTATACACTTGCAATCATTTTCAAAACATTAGACATAACACACATCTCTGTGTTACACCACTGGTAACATCGAAAGTTGTCTCTCTCATGGTTCACAAAAGGTTCAGGCGAGTAGAGACACCGTGTACACTTAGGAGATATACGTGCTGTGTTTGCAAATTAGATTGATGTTAGACCGAATTGATAGTCTCTAAATGTCATTTGAAACCGGGCACCTCGATCTCCTTCGGTCGGCGGAAATAAGTGCTCAATCCGGTATGGCACGAGAGGGGAATTAAACTCGTCTGTGAAAGGGGTGGTAGGTACCTTTCGTTGTGTTTTTTTAACATTGTAACGTCAAAAAACATATTCGAGAAAAGAAATCAAACAACTCTTTGTTAAATGCAACATTGTTTACGTCGTAAATAAGTAACAGCTTGGATATATAAGCCCTCCAAATACGACAGAAACCAGTTTACTGTTTGGTTTGCCGTAGTATTGTACCCCCTGCCAACACTACATGGAATGACCTGACCTACTTATTTTCTTGGAAGCAGTTGTTGACAGTTACGCAACAATTTGAAATTTGGAAAGAGGCGGACGTGCCAGTTTTTACATTTTGTGCAAGATTGAAATTTGAAGTGATAGTGGAGGATACGGCAAGAATGCATTATACCGGACGCCTTCCGCCACTTTGGTAAGGGATGTGCACGAGCTCATTCAAAAAAATAGAATTGTACAATATATCGTCATACGTACCGCAATACGGCCTTGTGCATTGCAAAATATTGTGACACACTTTAAACCTCAAAAAAACAACCCTAATGAGTGGCATCCAACAAACATGGCGGATAGGTATTCGGTATAATGCATCGGTCCCGAGGATACTTGATTGTCTGTTAAATCTCAACCCTGCACAATCGAAGAATAGTAGATTTGTCTTCAGCAGCCCATGTTTGCCGTAAAAGGCGACTATGATTGTCGTAAGAGGCGTCTAACGGGACTAACTAAACAACAAACAAACAAACAAACATTTTTTTCTGATCGGCCGACAAAATAGTGACAGTGGTTGCCCTAAAGCAATGATTTGTGTAAATGCGACTAACTTCGGGTTTCCTTGAAAATTGTTTTCATCTTTTAGGACAGTGGATTGTGGCCAAGCGGTTTTAAAGTGTACCAACATGGATCTCCAGCAGGGACAGTTTTTCGGGGAAGCTGGTAGAAAGCAGGATTCTGGTGGTTCAATTTTGACATGTATTTATGTATATATGTATGTAAACTCATTATCACTGAATTCTGTCAAGTCCGGACCATATTAATCGGAAAAATTGCCGATTAAAAAAAATCCGAAAACCATCACGTCTGTTGTGTTGATATCAGCCATGTTGGTGGTCAAACGGAAGTAGTGCGTCTGTGTTGTATACATGCGCAGTGAAGCGGTCATAAAATCAGACGCATTTTTTTATTCAATCCAAAATGATTATGTCTGATTCGCTCGTCACGCCGAAGACCCGGGTTCGATTCCCGGCATTGGTACAATGTGTGAAGCCCGTGTGGACATACAGACACAGCTGTGACATGGTTGTAATCTCCAGCCACTTGCTCTGACTGTCTGGCGTCTTCTCACGCCGACAGTGACGATGACCTTGAGATCGCGACAAAAACAGCCTTTGCAGTGGTGTGGGTGAGGTGGAATGATGTGTCAGGCACTTGCATAGGGACGGATGCGTGTGTGTGTTATGTGAGAGAGTGCTCATGCGTGCGTGTGGTGCTTGCACTAGTCCGGGCTAATACCGGTTTTGTAATGCTATCAAGCTGAGATACTATGCAGCTGTTGATATAACATGGACACCCCACTCAGACACAGTATACTGACAGTATACAGTCCTTGTTTTACCCCCTTTATTCCAAGCGCCAGGCAGGCTAACAAAAAGTACCGACCTTCCGCTAACCGATCAGACGCTAAGCCACGGAGGTGATGTGAATGCAATGACGTATATGTCGTTATACATGAAGCTCATGTAAATATATCGCATAACATAATGTCGACAGTGTAAAGACTGTAGTGTGGTAACACCAGAATGATAGAGATGACAATGGGCTTGGTATTTGATGGCTCTGTTTATGTAGAGGGGAATGTCCGAGTAATTAACCCTCCATTCTTTAAAAATAATGGAGCAGGGCCCGATGCCCAGAATTTTTAAGGAATGTAAAGTTACGAGGATATTCCCCTACTCAAAACTCATCCCTACTTTTACACTTTGACAAAATATTCTGTTGTGGAAAATATTTGAAAAAATAAACCAGAACTCTTTGTTGTCTGTATTTATACTGCATGAGTCGCCCTTGATGCACGAGGAATGCGCATTCGTGACCAACTCGTGTTATTCCGGGACAAGCCGAATAGCGACTCGTGCCCCTCTCATGGCCATTTTTGCGACCGGGTTCCGTCTTAGCGCAAATGAAATTTAAAGCATATCGGGACATGCAGAATTATACAGTATGGGTATATTTTTAGATGCAAGACATATGTAAAACCAAAAACTATTTCTGAGGGCTTCTTTGACAAAGAACTTGAAATCATACGCGCATTCTGACTTGTTTGTCGTATTTTCGCGCATAACATTCATTGATAGGGGGAACGTGTCTTCTTGCAGGTTACGAAAAGGGGCGAGTGGTGACGAATGGAGGAATGCGTTGTTTGCCGCTGGTGCGCGTGCCCCAAGCTCTGTCGCGAGCTGACATTTACAATGCATGATTCACGGCTCTTCATTTCGTTAGGTCCAAAACTAATATTTATCAATCACTTGCACGTTGTCAATACATGTTGGTGGGAATAATAGGAACTATAGAGCCCCGAACAAAGATATATATATTACCGCATTTTTTTCTCGGCAAAGGTTTATCTAATTGCTATAAATATGAACATTGTTGTAGGTAGCCTGCTCTAACACAAAATATATACATATTATTTTGAGCTTTTGAGCATTATGCAAAAATTTGAAAATAGTTAATAGTTAATTTCACACCACACCTTCATGTGCCGCCGCAGCAGAGGTTGACAATTACAGGTTCTTAAATAAAACGATGCGGGTTCGAACCCCGTTGGCGACACATGTTTTAGGAAAAAATATGAAATTATTCACTTGTCAATAAATGTAAAAAATAGTCTATTCCAAGTGGAAATTAATTCAAATGCTGGTTCAAGATAATGAATAGTTGACAAACAACTCTCCATTCCTGAAGCGTTCAAACAATAGAATGACGTCACAGATGTGTTTTAAGAAAAGACAGTTGCTTTTCTACTGGTCTACGTAATGTTAACGACATAGTCGAGACGATCTGTGTGTTGGTAGCTGCCCAGTTCAAAAGCATCGAGGTCTCTCACATTCGTTAGATTTGTCAAACACATCTGTTTCTGCCGTAGACACAGTCGACGCTACAGATGCCAAAGCTACATCAGTGTTGCCGTTAGTGAGGGTCATGATTTTGTCGGAACTGTGCGTATTGCTTCTACGGGACCGTCTTCGGGAACAACACAGACGTCGGAGCTCGGTGCGGAACTTTTGACCGCTGATGCAGTATAGCAGAAAGTTGATGGTGTGGTTGGTGTACATCAGGTTGTCGATGATGGCGTGAACCAGATGAAATACTGCAACCTCATGAGGTGTTTTGGGGAACCAGGCGTAACGCTGAACAATGATGATTATAGCCACTGGTGCTGACAAGAAGAGGAAAGCGAAGGACACCAACATCAACATGACTGTCAGCTGACGCTGACTCTGGCCGGGTCTGTTCCCAGCTGTACCCTTCAGTGTATGGGTAAGATTCTGTTGTTTCTTGGCCGCCCTCTTCAGGTTGGCGATGATGAGGAAGTTGAGGACGAACAATGACGTCATCGGGATAAAACAATACAAGGCAGAGTCTATCCATGGGAATACTTTGGTGACGAAAAATTTGTTCGTTTCGCCGTCATAACCACAAAACGTTGTTTGCTTTGAACTGTCAAAATCTGCCGAGCGTGTGAACAGATTGTGTAAATTAACCCCAAGTGAAAAAAATGCCAGTGTTACTATGACAATGACGGCCTTCTTGAGCGTAATGAGTGAATGTGCATGAAGCGGGAAGCTTACAGCCACGTATCGCTCTGCAGTCATGGACAACAGCAGCAGGACATCGTAGTGGATTGTGGTGTAGAAGATGAAGTACAGGATCCCGCACGTCTCGTCTGTGTGTGAATAGGTATAGTACCTGAAACAGGGAAACATGCTTTACACATTGCGTTCACTGAACGCTCGGGGAATCCGTATTAAATGTAAGTTTTAGTCAAAATTTGCTTCACTTTAATAACAACTCGAAACATTCCAAATGTGCATTGTGAGGCCGAGAGAACACAATCATCAGGCTGGAAACCCCCTCCTCCCTTGAATCCCGAATACCATATTTTTCACTGTATGTCTCACTTGTTCACCCCTGAATCGCAAATACTTCTTCAGACAAATCTCAACGCACATGTGAGAATTCACTCTACAAAGGCAAAATGACCATACTCAACAACAATGGTTTTCTTGAGATCGGCGAGAGGTGTTCTTTGTGAGTCTTTCAAATTCAGGCGCAACGTTGCCCCTAAGAACATGATAGAAGGCCATGAAATCAACCATTGTCTGATTGAGAAGTTCTAAGCCCTACAGAGAAGGAATATTATACATCAGGGAAATATTTTGTACAGACATTACATGATGTGATAGAGGTAAGCGACAAAGATATGAGTCAATAAAGCAATTTGTTTCGCTGTTACAAGTCCGTAAAATAAGCAGGGGTCTGTGACCTTTGGAAAGTGGACAAACTTGAGGAAGGTGCAGTTTGTTGTTTATCGCCGCACTGAGCAATATTTCAGCTATGTGACGGCGGTCTGTAAATAATCGAAGCTGCGATGACATGCATCAACCAAGTCACCCGATCCAGTCAGTCGCCTCTTACGACAAACACAGTCGCCTTTTACAGCAGGCATGGGTTGCTGAAGATCTATTCTACCCCGGATCTTCACGGGTCGAGGAACGTGCAGTGATCAAGTACTTGCAGATTGGTGTTTGGACTTAACGTGCTGCGCATCTAGAACTTATCAAGCAATACTCGTATATAGCGACACTCCACTTTTCCATAACTAGTGCTTCAACAATGGTGCTTAACTATTGTTTTATTAACATAGTAATGGGTGGATTTGTGTAGATGGATTCTAAGTATCAAAACAAGACAGCAATATGTAAAATATATCTAAACTGGATTTTACTGGTTATATATTTGGGGGATTATCTGGTTCGGTAAGTTACCCCTATACATACACACACGGCTGTGTGTGGGCAGATCCGTGTCACATACCTTTATTTACATCAACAAGACATGGCCAAACAAAAACAACAAGCCTTTGGAAAATAATTGATTCCACAATAGAAATTAACGACTGTCTATTGATATACCACAAATCGTACACGCAAAATTCAGGAGATTCAAAAGAATTATTTCGAAATATGTTCAAAAAAACTTACTTTAACATACAGTGGAAAGGTGTCATATATTTGCATTAAATACTGAGATAGGGGTAATCTGAACATGCGATTAATCCTGTTTTGTTTATTTAAAGATTAATTGTTTATTGTTAAGCAAGTTTCTCTGCAGACATTGTAATATGCAGCCACAAGCCGACTCTTCTCGCATCAAATTACGGGGATATGTACGCGGGCAGATGACCATGGAGTACGCTGATCACAGTGACTGTGTCGGAGTAGCGAGGCTGATTAATAACTGATTTCAGCAATTCGTTGCAAATTAGGTGTGTCGGAGTCGGAGTGCACGACTGTCGGGTCTAAAATTGCAATGATTTAATCGGTCCTCATCAATAGTGTCGGATAAAACCGAGAGTCGGATTAACGAGACTTGACTGTAGCTACTGAAATTTTTAATGGAAAATCAATGTACACTGTAATATATCTTAGGGGTTTAAACAACCTAAATGGGTGACGCACATATAGTCTGGCTTATTAAACCTGTATGCTATGCTATTCCTACAACGTATTTAGCGTAATAACTACTATGCCAAAGCGGTTGTATTTTATATCCAACATATATTTTGTATTTTGATACATGTCTTCAGTACATAATCGAGACTTAACCAGCCAAACCAGTAATTGATACACTGTACGCAACGATCGACACCGTCAGGGTACGATGGCACCAATCCACCAGTTCACCAACCATGACCACCCCTCTCATTACGACCAGCAAAGGCTACTGGGGAATCACCATATGTTTTCAATGTTAAAACGGCCGTATTATGTTGTTTGTATGTGTTTAGACATTCGTCTGTACATCTCAAGACATGATGGATATGACATTAAGTCATTGTAATAAACACACACAAGAGTCATCAGAAGATGGCCCCCACAATAGCAAAATGCATCACACCAAATGCTCCTGGTTAATATATGTACCAAGTGGATGGAAAAACTTTCACGGTTTTGAACTTTTGCTCCGGAATCGAAATACTGATGGACAGACGGACAGACAGACCTGATGATGACTATATTCCCCCGCATTATATGCGGGGAGGATAATTGCAAATGTATATAGTCTTTGTTAGCGTTGCCCATGATAGGACAAGTTCAGTTATGAAATAAACGAGCACTGAATTGCCGTTTCAAGCACGTAAAAGACAAAAAAATGCCATTCATAACTTAATATGTCTGAGAAATTCATTGTTGAAATTATCAAAAACACTGTGGCACTCAAAACAAAAATGTATTAAGTAATATCTCTAGTCAAGCAGATATGTTTATTCGGTTGTTGTGGTTTATTGTATTGATTCTTTTGCACAGGTGTGTGTGTGCGTGCGTGTGTGTGCGTGCGTGTGCGTGTGTGTATGTAGAATGATGTAACTTGGGGATAGTTCTCTTTGGTATTTTAGTTGAAATGATTATTACATAACAGATACCAAACTGAACCAAACATATATATTGCCGTGCAAATAATATTTCTAAACAAATCACAATGAATTGTGTACAATACAGAATTGGTTTTGTCCAGATACGTTTGAAAAAAATTCCATTCAGGCCTCGAAGCTAAAAAAATTAAAAGTCTTTGTTTTGGTTCTATATGGCTGCATGGTATCCATATGCCAAAATAGAAACGATCAAGGGGGACACATCTTGTCTCGGAATGACACGAGTTGGTCACGAATAAGTAAAGAATGTCGTGGCGTATGCCGGAAACAGACGAAAACCTATAGAACACATTCCAAGGTCATAAAAGAGTGCAATTATTTGGATTTCATTTACTGAAAAAATATTGAAGACATATAACATATACAGGAAATGTTTACGTACATCATTCATTTTTCAGAATTTTGAACCTTCATACTAAATACGATTTTATTTGTGTCCCGCCTACCACACTGCCGAGTCCAGAATATCCTCGAAATAGACCCCCGAATCCCGCGTACCAAAAGTGGGTTGGCAGCCTCAATCATGTAAACATAACCGAAGTTCGGCGTCGCTGTCCGTTGTGAGTCAAGGCGTTTTCTGTCCAAAACACCACCACCGATGTTAGCAGACTGCAGCTACTGCAAGGCATGATATAGTGTGGTTACCGAGTTGGTTACACTACATGATACCGTAACTGACGTGAATAGACGGCCTGGAGCGTGATTTGGTGTCGCGCCCGCTATGGGACGATCATGGCGGAGGAAGAGTAACACGTGTCGTTTCGACTGCAGTATTTTGGTAAATGCCCTACACTGAGCAACAGGTGTTATGAAACTCTTCAAGGATTGTACATGCCTGTGTCCAGAGATAGACATAATTCCCAGGGCAACAATCCGACAACGTACACGTTTTTAGTTACGTCAAAATGGGCTGATGTCATGTCAGCTCATTATGACGTAACTAAAAATACTTTATTATCGTAGGATAAAGTACAGTAGGCGTCCTTGATCTTTTTGCGTTCATAAAAACCCAGATAGAACAACTATCACAATGAATGACATGTGAAGATGTGAATTAACTGCAACACTACCTTCTTAGATAGAACACCAAGTCTATGACGAGAATGAGGCTGTCCATGCAGGCAATGGTGGCTAGGTACAAGCACGTCGTCGTTTTGCGAAGTGACGTCATCACCAAAACGCAGAAGGAGATGATGTTGCCGATGACGCCGAGTGAGACACAGATAGGAACGTAGATGAGGTGGATGTACTGCGCAACACGCTCCTCCATGTAGTTGTTGATGTCGTCGGTCGGTAACACAGTAACGTTCCTCACTGAGGCCGTAGTGGATGAGAGGCCGCTGGTAACGTTCTGTGGAGGCAACATAATATCGCCGTTTCCTCCCATTACAGCCTCCCTGCAAAACCCGACTGATTCTTAAATCTTACAATTTAATATCGATTATTGTACTTTTTTCTCGAATGTGGTTGCCTAATTTACCGACTGATTGACTCGGTTTGACGGGGAAGTTACTACTTACAGGGTCATATTAACATAGTTTTTATTGTGGCGTATAACACCACATGGAATAACGTTTTGTTCAATGTGTTACTGGCGGCAGTAGTTATAGCGCTAAACCACTTCATGTTAACTCCAAGTGAGATTCCTATAATTAATCGTTTCTTCAAGGGTATTATTTAAATAGGTTCATTTGATTTATCTGCAGTATGTACATTTGAATAAATTCCCTGGTGGAAACTCGGAAGTGAAAATATGAATCGACTTCGTTGTCTGAGCAGTCGATTCTCAACATGTGTACAGAGGAATCTTTGATATCCAACTCCTTAACCTATAGCGGGTGATAATTAGGAGGGGAACTGAACATCTCCAGGTTTATGTGGACGTTTGGCATTGTCAGTATACGTATGACTGTATGTAAACGCATTTTCTTTCGCAAACACTGAACGCAAATGTTTTGAACATTATAATAACTGAGGTAATGCGATATACTACCAAGTCAGGACAATGTGATATACTACCAAGTCAACACAATGTGTTACTCTACCAGGTCAACACAATGTGATATACTACCAAGTCAACACAATGTGTTACTCTACCAGGTCAACACAATGTGATACACTACCAGGTCAACACAATGTGTTACTCTACCAGGTCAACACCATGTGATAATCTACCATGTCAACACAATGTGATGTACTACCAAGTCAACACAATGTCTTCCACTACCAAGTCAGCACAATATGACACACTACCAAGTCAGCACAATGTGTTACACTACCATGTCAACAACATGTGATAATCTACCATGCCAACACAATGTGATGTACTACCAAGTCAGCACAATGTATTACACTACCAAGTCAGCACATTATGACAGACTAGCAAGTCAGCACAATGTGATATACTACCAAGTCAGCACATTATGACACACTAGCAAGTCAGCACAATGTGATATACTACCAAGTCAACACAATGTGTTACTCTACCAAGTCAGCACAATCTGTTACACTACCAAGTCAACACAATGTGATATACTACCAAGTGTTACTCTACCAGGTCAACACAATGTGATGCACTACCAAGTCAACACAATGTAATACACTACCAGGTCAACACAATGTGATGCACTACCAAGTCAACACAATGTAATACACTACCAGGTCAACACAATGTGATCCACTACCAGGTCAACACAATGTGATGCACTACCAAGTCAACACAATGTGATACACTACCATGTCAACACAATGTGATACACTACCAGGTCAACACAATGTGTTACTCTACCAGGTCAACACCATGTGATAATCTACCATGTCAACACAATGTGATGTACTACCAAGTCAACACAATGTCTTCCACTACCAAGTCAGCACATTATGACAGACTAGCAAGTCAGCACAATGTGATATACTACCAAGTCAGCACATTATGACAGACTAGCAAGTCAGCACAATGTGATATACTAGCAAGTCAGCACAATGTGATATACTACCAAGTCAACACAATGTGTTACTCTACCAAGTCAGCACAATCTGTTACACTACCAAGTCAACACAATGTGATATACTACCAAGTGTTACTCTACCAGGTCAACACAATGTGATGCACTACCAAGTCAACACAATGTAATACACTACCAGGTCAACACAATGTGATGCACTACCAAGTCAACACAATGTAATACACTACCAGGTCAACACAATGTGATCCACTACCAGGCCAACACAATGTGATGCACTACCAAGTCAACACAATGTGATACACTACCAAGTCAACACAATGTGATACACTACCAGGTCAACACAATGTGTTACTCTACCAGGTCATCACCATGTGATCCACTACCAGGTCAACACAATGTGTTACTCTACCATGTCAACACCATGTGATCCACTACCAGGTCAACACAATGTGATGCACTACCAGGTCAACACAATGTGATACACTACAAGGTCAACACAATGTGATCCACTACCAGGTCACCCCATGTGATACACTACCAGGTCAACACAATGTGTTACTCTACCAGGTCATCACCATGTGATCCACTACCAGGTCAACACAATGTGTTACTCTACCATGTCAACACCATGTGATCCACTACCAGGTCAACACAATGTGATGCACTACCAAGTCAACACAATGTGATACACTACAAGGTCAACACAATGTGATCCACTACCAGGTCACCCCATGTGATGCACTACCAAGTCAACACAATGTGATACACTACCAAGTCAACACAATGTGTTACTCTACCATGTCAACACCATGTGATAATCTACCATGTCAACACAATGTGATATACTACCAAGTCAACACAATGTGATATACTGCTTATATGCCACTATGTAAGACACCATCTGTATGCCACTATGTAAGACACCATCTACATACCATTATGTAAGACACCATCTGTATAGCACTATGTTAGACACCATCTATATACCATTATGTTAGACACCATCTACATACCTAGAGTTATGGGAATGGCGTCCTTCTGGAGGTAATGGTGGTGTGTCCTGCTGAAGCTGTGGGTAGAACGTCCCCCTAGAGTTATGGGAATGGCGTCCTTCTGGAGGTAATGGTGGTGTGTCCTGCTGAAGGTGTGGGTAGAACGTCCCCCTAGAGTTATGGGAATGGCGTCCTTCTGGAGGTAATGGTGGTGTGTCCTGCTGAAGCTGTGGGTAGAACGTCCCCCTAGAGTTATGGGAATGGCGTCCTTCTGGGGGTAATGGTGGTGTGTCCTGCTGAAGCTGTGGGTAGAACGTTCCCCTAGAGTTATGGGAATGGCGTCCTTCTGGAGGTAATGGTGGTGTGTCCTGCTGAAGCTGTGGGTAGAACGTCCCCCTAGAGTTATGGGAATGGCGTCCTTCTGGAGGTAATGGTGGTGTGTCCTGATGGAGCTGTGGGTAGAACGTCCCCCTAGAGTTATGGGAATGGCGTCCTTCTGGATGTAATGGTGGTGTGTCCTGCTGAAGCTGTGCGTAGAACGTCCCCCTAGAGTTGTGGGAATGGCGTCCTTCTGGAGGTAATGGTGGTGTGTCCTGCTGAAGGTGTGCGTAGAACGTCCCCCAAGAGTTATGGGAATGGCGTCCTTCTGGAGGTAATGGTGGTGTGTTCTGCTGAAGGTGTGGGTAGAACGCCCCCTAGAGTTATGGGAATGGCGTCCTTCTGGGGGTATTGGCTGCGTGTCCTGATGGAGCTGTGGGTAGAACGTCCCCCTAGAGTTATGGGAATGGCGTCCTTCTGGGGGTAATGGTGGTGTGTCCTGCTGAAGCTGGGGGTAGAACGTCCCCCTTGAGATATGGGAATTGCGTCCTTCTGGGGGTATTGGCTGCGTGTCCTGATGGAGCTGTGCGTAGAACGTCCCCCTAGAGTTATGGAAATGGCGTCGTTCTGGAGGTAATGGAGTTATGGCGGTATGACGGACTTCTGGAGGTATTCTTCCATCAATTCTTTAGCACGCAAAAGATCGAAACCATGGAAATGCAATTATTAGCTAAACGAAAGTCGATAGTATTTGCATATTAGTTGCTGTGTAATTGTTTAAGTAATTGCTGCAGAGTATTGGGCCGTGTGTTTTCTTCTCTTCCCCGTGTGCGTGTATAGAGTGGTGGGGATGGGAATGTGAGGATATGTGATGGGAAAGGATCAGTGAGGGAAAAGGGGTAAGGACGTGTGCGAGGCGCATCGATGTACTCGGGTTACTATCATCTTTCGTCATAATCGTCTGATTTACTAGTCACTGTTTTTTATACAACTCCGCATACCTGAGTAGTATAAATGATGGGGGTACTGGACTGGGTGATGATGATATGCAAATATGCAGACCTTGCGTTCGAAATGTCACGCTTGCTTCCCAAGTAACAAGTGGTCCGACTACCCATTGTTCTCGGTGCCTTAGGTTTGGTACCTCCCAATCTGTTGACTGACATCGGGAGAAAACCCGGGTTTGGTAACAGGAATACAACCCTTCCGACATTCTGGGTAATGCAGAGGGCTGCAGTGTTGGGGATTCTTCACATTCTCCGAAAAGTTCTGGGTGGGATTAACTAGGCAACAACAACAAAAACAACAATAAGAAAAAGAAGAAAAATAAATAAATAAATAAATAAATAATAATAATGATAATGATGATGATGATGATGATGATGATAATAATAATAATAATAATAATAATAACGACTGAGACGGTGAGAGTACAAGAGGGTCTTCATGGTTTGGGAAGTGCTTGGTGGATGTGGAGCCATGTATCAGTATAGTAGGATACAAGTAGCCGGATGTAGGGTGGTACTGGAACCGTGTATCAGTATAGTAGGATACAAGTAGCCGGATGTAGGGTGGTACTGGAGCTGTGTATCAGTATAGAAGGATACAAGTAGCCGGATGTAGGGTTGTACTGGAGCTGTGTATCAGTATAGAAGGATACAAGTAGCCGGATGTAGGGTGGTACTGGAGCTGTGTATCAGTATAGAAGGATACAAGTAGCCGGATGTAGGGTTGTACTGGAGCTGTGTATCAGTATAGAAGGATACAAGTAGCCGGATGTAGGGTTGTACTGGAGCTGTGTATCAGTATAGAAGGATACAAGTAGCCGGATGTAGGGTGGTACTGGAACCGTGTATCAGTATAGAATGATACAAGTAGCCGGATGTAGGGTTGTACTGGAGCTGTGTATCAGTATAGAAGGATACAAGTAGCCGGGTGGAGGGTGGTACTGGAGCTGTGTATCAGTATAGAAGGATACAAGTAGCCGGATGTAGGGTGGTACTGGAACCGTGTATCAGTATAGAATGATACAAGTAGCCGGATGTAGGGTTGTACTGGAGTCGTGTATCAGTATAGAAGGATACAAGTAGCCGGGTGGAGGGTGGTACTGGAGCTGTGTATCAGTATAGAATGATACAAGTAGCCGGGTGGAGGGTGGCACAGGAATCGCGTATCAGTATAGAAGGATACAAGTAGCCGCATGTAGGGTGGTACTGGAACCGTGTATCAGTATAGAAGGATACAAGTAGCCGTATGTAGGGTGGTACTGGAACCGTGTATCAGTATAGTAGGATACAAGTAGCCGTGAACCGTGTATCAGTATAGAATGATACAAGTAGCCGGATGTAGGGTGGTACTGGAACCGTGTATCAGTATAGTAGGATACAAGTAGCCGGATGTAGGGTGGTACTGGAGTCGTGTATCAGTATAGTAGGATACAAGTAGCCGTATGTAGGGTGGTTCTGGAACCGTGTATCAGTATAGAAGGATACAAGTAGCCGGATGTAGGGTGGCACAGGAATCGTGTATCAGTATAGAAGGATACAAGTAGCCGCATGTAGGGTGGTACTGGAACCGTGTATCAGTTTAGTAAGATATAAGTAGCTGTGAACCGTGTATCAGTATAGTAGGTTACAAGTAGCCGTGAACCGTGTATCAGTATAGTAGGATATAAGTAGCCGGATGGAGGGTGCTACTGGAACCGTGTATCAGTATAGTAGGATACAAGTAGCCGGATTTAGTGTGGTACAGGAGCCGTGTATCAGTATAGTGGGATACATTATCTGAGCCGAGGGTGGTACTGGGGCTGTTATTGAATCATGATGCTCGGGTACCAAATATATCAATCCACCTTTTACCTCAACATTTTGTGTTCGTAAGTTAATGTGAAGAAGGACCCACTTCACCTCGCCTCACGTGAAGATGCATTGACCAGAACTACACCAGGGTCAGCATGTCCATCTATTGATCACGCGTGGGCAAGAGTTCTAATGAGACTAATGAATAGTTTTCCATACATACATGCAACGATTCAGGTATTTATTTAACAGGAATAATGATCCACCGCACGAATGTCATATATGCTCTGATGCTATTATTGTGTGCTTTTGATGTATGAAATATTAGCAATGACCTTGAGTTCGCATAATATGTTTATTGTTCGATATTGTCGATAGGAATGTGAATATTTAATTAGCAATACTTAGAGTGACGTCAGTAGAGGTTGGTGTGCTTTGTAATACATATAGGGATACGATAATCAATACCGCATGTTCTTCTTGGAATGTTGTCACCTCTTGCGTTCGATTTCAAAACCCAGAACGACCCAGATGAACCCGTGCAGGCCAAGGTACAAACCAAGTTAACACGCATTTTACACGCGTTGAATAGAAAAGGTACAATGACAGCTTTGTCAAGAAAAGTAATACTTGTTAATATCTCGTAGTTGGGTGTAAGTAATATATATGGCTGTTGAGTTTTTCCTTATCCTGACCTCAATTTTGTTTCTAAACGTTGCATTATACGCCCTGTACTCCGGACCCTGCGTCGGGTTATGCTTGGTTAACACTGGTTAACTCAGGTTAAATCTTGTGGTAACATCGGTTGACTCAGGTGACTCGAATTTTAACAATCGAACGCACGTGCTGATACGACTGCAAAAACGTTTGTAGGGTTAACGTGGGTATGTAGGGTTAACGTTGGTATGTAGGGTTAACGTGGGTATGTGTTGAAAACTGCATGGTTTTTGTCGAGGGCAAATCAAAAACGTTGCGCACGTCGTCGTCATGTTTCATCAGTCGGTTTCATCAAACAGCCGGAAAATTAAAAGTCACCAAGACCGAGAATAGATGGAAATATTACTAGTCGTTTCCCAGTTGGTGAATCACAGTGGTCGGTGTATCCAAGGATACAAATTCGGATTCACCCTGATTATCTTTGATGGTTTGTCGGCACCAAACACACGTTTGGGTTTCGCCAAAATGATAAACGTCTGAGACCTGCATCACTTTCATCCAACGTGTGTGTTTGTGTGCTTGCGTGCTTGCATGCATGTTTGTGTGTTTGCGTACGTGCCTGTTTGTGCGTGTGTAGACGTATACTAGTATTAGCACTGTTGAGACGGACAATATCACATGTCTATGAACATGTGTTTTTATTCAAGTGTATTGTCAGTCTAGTAACACCTACATTGTCAAGAGTCACTCTATATAACATGTCAATCTAGTAACACCTACATCATCACGTGTCAATCTAGTAACACCTACATTATCACGTGGCTATCCAGTAACACCTACATAATCACGTGGCTGTCCAGTAACACCTACATTATCACGTGTCTGTCTGGTAACACCAACATTATCCCGTGTCTGTCTTGTAACACCAACATTATCATGTGTCTGTCCAGTAACACCAACATAATCACGTGTCTGTCTAGTAACAACTACATTATCATGTGTCTGTCTGGTAACACCAACATTACAATGTGTCTGTCCAGTAGCACCAACATTATCATGTGTCTGTCCAGTAACACCAACATTATCATGTGTCTGTCTAGTAACAACTACATTATCACGTGTCTGTCTGGTAACACCAACATTATCATGTGTCTGTCCAGTAACACCAACATTATCATGTGTCTGTCCAGTAGCACCAACCTTATCATGTGTCTGTCCAGTAACACCAACATTATCACGTGTCTGTCTGGTAACACCAACATTGTCATGTGTCTGTCCAGTAACACCTACATTATCACCTGTCTGTCCAGTAACACCTACATTATCACGTGTCTGTCTAGTATCACCTACATCATCACGTGTCTGTCTAGTAACAACTACATTATCATGTGTATGTCCAGTAACACCAACATTATCACGTGTCTGTCTAGTAACAACTACATTATCACGTGTCTGTCTGGTAACATCAACATTATCACGTGTCTGTCCAGTAACAACTACATTATCACGTGTCTGTCTGGTAACAACTACATTATCACGTGTCTGTCCAGTAACAACTACATTATCATGTGTCTGTCCAGTAGCACCCACATTATCACGTAACTGTCTAGTAGCACCCACATTATCACGTGTCTGTCTAGTATCACCTACATCATCACGTGTCAATCTAGTAACACCTACATTATCATATGTTAGTCTAGTAGCACCTACATTATCACGTAACTGTCTAGTAACACCCACATTATCACGTGTCTGTCTAGTATCACCTACATCATCACGTGTCAATCTAGTAACACCCACATTATCATGTGTCTATCCAGTAGCACCAAAATTATCACGGATCTGTCTACTAACAACTACATCATCACGTGTCAATCTAGTAACACCTACATAATCACGTGTCTGTCTAGTAACAACTACATTATCACGTGTCTGTCTGGTAACACCAACATTACCATGTGTCTGTCCAGTAGCACCAACATTATCAAGGGTCTGTCTACTAACAACTACATCATCACGTGTCAATCTAGTAACACCTACACGATCACGTGTCAATCAAGTAACACCTACATTATCATGTGTCTGTCTAGTAGCACCCACATTATCACGTTGCTGTCCAGTAACATCTGCATTATCACGTGGTTGTCTTCTCGCACCTACATTATGATGTGTCTGTCTGGTAACAACTACATCATAACGTGTCAATCTAGTAACACCTACATTATCATGTGTCTGTCTAGTACCACCCACATTATCATGTATCTGTCCAGTAGCACCAACATTATCACGTGTCTGTCTAGTAGCAACTACATTATCATGTGTCTGTCTAGTAGCACCTACATTATCACGTAACAGTCTAGTAACACCCATATTATCACGTGTCTGTCTAGTATCACCTACATCATCACGTGTCAATCTAGTAACACCTACATTATCATGTGTCTGTCTAGTAGCACCCACATTATCACGTGGCTGTCCAGTAACATCTACATTATCACGTGTCTGTCTTGTCCCACCTACATTATGATGTGTCTGTCTAGTAACAACTACATCATCACGTGTCAATCTAGTGACACCTACATTATCATGTGTCTGTCTAGTACCACCCACATTATCATGTGTCTGTCCAGTAGCACCAACATTATCACGTGTCTGTCTAGTAACAACTCCATCATCACGTGTCAATCTAGTAACACCTACATTAACATGTGTCTGTCTAGTAGCACCCACATCATCACGTGGCTGTCCAGTAACATCTGCATTATCACGTGTCTGTCTTGACGCACCTACATTAAGATGTGTCTGTCTTGTCGCACCCACATTATCACGTGTCTGTCTAGTAACACCTACATCATCACATGTCAATCTAGTAACACCTACATTATGATGTGTCTGTCTAGTAGCACCCACATTATCACGTGTCAATCCAGTAACATCTACATTATCACGTGTCTGTCTTGTCGCACGTACATTATGTTGTGTCTGTCTTGCCGCACCTACATTATAATGTGTCTGTCTAGTCACAACTACATCATCACGTGTCGATCTAGTAACACCTACATTATCATGTGTCTGTCTAGTAGCACCCACATTATCACGTGTCTGTCTAGTAACAACTACATCATCACGTGTCAATCTGGTAACACCTTCATTATCATGTGTCTGTCTAGTAGCACCTACATTATCACGAGGCTGTCCAGTAGCACCCACATTATCACGTGTCTGTCTGGTAACAACTACATCATCACGTGTCGATCTAGTAACACCTACATTATCATGTGTCTGTCTAGTAGCACCCACATTATCACGTAACTGTCTAGTAACAACTACATTATCACGTGTCTGTCTAGTATCACCTACATCATCACGTGTCTGTCTAGTAGCACCCACATTATCACGTGTCTGTCTAGTATCACCTACATCATCACGTGTCGATCTAGTAACACCTACATTATCATGTGTCTGTCTAGTACCACCCACATTATCACGTA